CATAATTATTACAATATTATTGACTTTACATGTTGTACTTTACATCCCTATGACTATTTTGTAACTACCAATTTGTACTTCTCAATCCCTTCACCCCTTTCACCCAGCCCCACCATCTCTCCTCCCATTTGGCAACCCTACCTTTGTTCTCTGTATCTATGAATCTGTTTCTGTTTGTTTGTTCATTAATTTTGTTCTTTAGATTCCCCATATAAGTGAAATCATATGGTGTTTGTCTTTCTCCTTGTCATTTATTTCACTTAGCATAATGTTCTCTTGGTTCGTCTATGTTGTCGCAAATATTAAGATTTTATTCTTTCTCGCGGCTGAGTAATATTCCATTGTATATATGTACCACACTTTCCTTATCCAGTTGTCTGTCGATGGACACTTAAGTTGCCTCCATCTCTTGGCTATTGTAGATAATGCTGCAATGAATATAGGGGTGCATACATCTTTATGAATTAGTGTTTTGGCTTTCTTCCAGTAAATAGGCAGGAGTGGAATTGCTGGTTCATGTGCTAATTCTGTTTTTAATTTTTTGAGGAACCTCTATACTGTTTTCCATAGTGGCTGCAGCAATTTGCAATCCCACCAACAGTGCATGGGGGTTCTCTTTCCTACTACTGAAGTCTTCTGTGTATGTTTTTTCAGTGAGCAATGCGATGCAATTGATTGGGGAGTTGGACAGAGGTTACAGAATTTTTAAGATGAAGATTTTATCTAGTTCAGTGTCCTCCTATTTACTTATGTGAAAACTTAGAGCCAGGGTAGTCAAGTAATTTACCCAGAATCATACTCTTTATCCCGTCTGACATCAGAACCTTATTCTTTTTACTTCGGTGCCTCCCTTGAGAGCCATGCTTCAAGAACTGTTATGTGTTTTTTGGTTAAAATTATTCATTTGAGAACTTACTACAGCATCTAGATATGCTGTCATTTGGAAGAGCTGTTACTTTTTTTCAAAATCACTCCAATCAGCAAAACTTCAATCCTTGCCTATTATATTTTTGCCTATGCTTTACTGGGCAGGGGATGGAAGTAACCCAAGAGCCTGTTTTACTGCAATTTGAGAGTTTTAGTGATTAGTAATTTCAAAACTTGATAGGTATGGTTTTATTGTAGCTGTAAATAGTTTAGGTATTGTTTCTTACAGAGGTTTTTAAAATGGATAATAGGCACACTTTTAATTATTATGAAACAGTCTCTTAGTTTTATAGATAGGTAGATAGATATATTGAGAGACCCTACTTCATTTAATTTTAAAATGAGAAATAATTTTTAAATGAGATATGAAACTGTTACTGCATCTAAAACTTTTCTTTGAAGATAGACCTATAGCTGTTACACTTGTAGCATTTTTCTGGGCATAGCATCCGAGCATTATTTCATAACATAAGGTATTATTTTGTAACATAGCCTTTCCTTTCCCCCTTCCCTGGCCCCAACCATGTCCACTCTGAATGGCTGTCCTTTTGTCATAACTAATCTCCATCTCCTTAATCTGCGGAAAGTTCTTTACCTTGTCAATATTTGAGGAGGACATAATAAGTGTATCATTACCAGCCCTGACAGGTCTACACGCAACATTAGGCACAGTTTTTATGGTAACTGAAGGGAAGCTTTTACATAGTAAGTTTTTTTTTTAAGTAGCCATTTAATTCACTGATACGAAAACCAGCCTGTCAGTGAATTTAGCTCAGCATGATGTATTAGGTAGACCATCGTTTAAGGCAAATATGTAATGCTATATAGACTGGGCCTTTGGCAGATGAATTTCATGTTTCATTTGTAGAAATATCGGCACCAAGTGAGCTGACAGTGGTTAAAGTGTTTTATAAACTCTATTTGCTTTTGATTATTCCTGTATAGAACTTGAGGTTGACTTACTATTTCTGATCATATATATTTTTAGATCAACTACTTTAAAGAGTAACTTCAAATGAAAGGGTACTTTTACTAATTGTATCCCCTTGAACACACACTATATTATGCTTCATAACTTACTATAAAGAATGCAATTTTGAAGTCTTCTTTACCCTACACCTGGACCTATAATAGACTTATCTAGTATTACATTGTTAAGAAAATGTTTTTTGTTTCGATATTATCAAAGGATTTTGGGGGAAATGGTTCTCTTTATTTTTGTAGGGTTTGATGCCCAAGGGTGTAGCTTGAGGAAGGTTATTTTTACCATCTCAACGACATATTAAATCATATACAGATAAAATGCTTTATAATACTTAAAACTCTCTCCTGAATTTTCTACTTTTGTGTATGACTTCCCATGTACTTTACAGTTCTGTTCTCATGGTATTCATACATTGGGACCATACTCTGTCTATTATTTCAAGAGCACTGACTCAGAGGAGAAGCCTGCTGCTTTCTTGGGAAGCTTTCATTGCCAAGCAGGCGAGGTTAGCACTTCCTTTTTTTTTATCCTCACCCGATTTTTCTTCAGATAGAGTGGGAGGGAGGGGGGCTGAGAGAGAGAGAGAGAGAGAGAGAGAGAGAGAGATCCACGTGAAAGGGACACATTGAGTGGCTGCCACCAGCATGACCCAAACAGTGCCGGGGACAAACTGCAACTGAGGTACATGCCCTTAGCGGGAATCGAACCCGGGTCTCTCCGGACTGCAGGCCAACACTCTAACCGCTGAGCCAAACCGGCCAGGGTGGTTAGCACTTTCATTTCATCTTCTGGTCAGTTGCTGTAGCAGCAAGGTCAACAGGAATGTCACTAACACCACTGCCGCCTCATCACCACTCAGAGCCGGGTAGAAATTTCCCAGCGGAATGAGAACAAGTGTGAATCAGGCTGGGGAGTAGAAAAACTATGGCCACCGTAGCACTTTCCAATATGTGTGCTTTACAAAATCATGTATTTTTTTGTAATTCTAATTACAAAGCAACTGCTGTGTGTGCCTTGCTTCACTCTTTCATTCTCCACAGCCTGGCTCTACTTTTTTTTTTAATCAGTTTTTTTTTTAAATATATTTTTTTCTTTCTGTATTTTTCTTTATTGATTTTTATAGAGAGAGGAAGGGAGAGGGAGAGAGAGATAGAAACATTGATTGGCCGCCTCCTGCATGCCCCCCAGTGGGGATCTGGCCCACAACCTAGGCATGTGCCCTGACCGGGAATCGAACTGGTGACCTCTTGGTGCATGGGTTGATGCTCAACCACTGAACCACACCAGCCGGGCTTTTAAATCAGTTTTTACCTTCCCAATGTTTTTATTTTAGAAGACTTCTAAAGCACCAGAAATAGATTTAAAAAAAATAACAACACGCGCGCGCACACACACACACACACACACACACACACAAAACACACCCAAGTTGAAGATGAACATGCTTTAAAGAAAGATCATTATACTCCCATAGTACTTCAAGGCAGTCTTTTCTCCAGCATTTCTTATGCTCAGTTGCAGTGAGTTTTACTGGAAGTAAAACTGAAGCTGCAGCTAGATGAGGGCTCTCGAGGGTACGCCCAGTCTCCTAAGGTGATAACTGTTTGTACTACGGGAAAGTTTTATTTCTTAGAAGTGAATTTTATTAAATATTTACATGCTATTAAAACATTAATCACTTGTAGTAATTTACTTGTAAGTACCCTCTAAGGAAGGTTCGTATTATTTTTTCCATTTTATAGATGTTCAAATTGAAGTCTAGATAGTGGGATCATCAGCAAGTTACATAAGTGATGATAATGAAAAAGATATTGAGATTATCTGTTCTGTTAGATTATCATATGGTTATTTTAAATTATCAACATGCATATGTTTGTAGAATAATAAGAACTATTACTACTGTAACTATTAGAATGAAAAGTAAAGAAAGTAAAAATAGGTAAATGGAGAGACAAAAGTTGAATTTCAGATTTGAGTTTGAGTCTGTTAGGTTGCATATCACCAAAAATGTCTGTTTATTATAGTATATAGAGGTATACACTAGATATTAGATACATAGGAAACAAAAGATGTTGTTTGTGGCCTGCTTTAGTTCTTTTCCACTGACAAGGAAAATTGAGCATCACTACTGATGGAAAACATGGAAATACAGTACTTGGCAATAGAATACCTTATTCCTTTCTCTACTGCTGACTAGCAGGTGAAATGTAGTCATTATTGGAAAATGAACCACTCTTTTCATTATAAATCCTCACACATCCTTTCCATCATTCTTTTTCTTACCTCCTAGTTCTCGTTTTTGTTCTCCTTCTTTCTCTTATTTTTTACCCTTTTACTTACCTCATTCACTTGCATTAGTATAAATGAATCTACAGATTTGAAATTTTAAGCAAAAGTTTCTTTCAACTATGGTATGTGATACTCATAAATATAAATCCTATGGCAAACAGCAGTCTGGATTGACTTTCCCTAGTGGCGGTTCTGCAACTACCTTCTGTTTTATTCTCTTCTCCTCTGTTGTCCTCATTGTCCTAGTGGTTGTCATTGCCATCGTCGTCGTCGTCGTCGTCGTCGTCATCATCATCATCATCATCATGTGAATCTTTGGGAAGCTTCCTAGCTACTTAAATGGAACTCACTATCTAAAAATGTGTGTTATGTAATTCTCCTCCTGTTTTTTCCCTATTATTTTTTTTTTCTTGAAAATCCCTCACAATTACATGTGCTATCTGAAATCTTCTGTGTGAGACTGGTTCTTTGTAGCTTGGCTTTTCCCCCCTGTGTGTTAGTATTTGGTTTGTTGTGAATTTTGTTTGTATTTTTTGTTTCCACTCATCTTACGAATTTCTATTTCATTTTTATTTTTCCCCAATCAAGACATTTACTGAGGGAACAGGAAAGTAAAATGTTGCAGAGTTTATATGTATTTTGTTATTTGTCATCTTTAATATTAGGAAGTTTACATTTTATTTAGTTGGAAGACATGATGGATGACATGAGCATGGATAAATACCTAAATACCTAGAATCACTGTGTATGTATACTGGATATTTACCATTGCTGAAGCCTTCTTTCTTAATCTCTCCAGGAAAGAAAGGAGAGGCTATCCAGATTTGAGTCTATTCGCCATTCAATTGCTGGAATAATTAGGTCTCCAAAATCTGCTCTGGGCTCTTCAACAGTAAGTAGGATAAACTCTGTGTACTACTGAAAATAGTCATTGTCTAGCTCTTTCTGATATACCAATGAATATCATATATAAATTTACCCTTGCAAATGGAAAAGTAAGTACAGTTGTCCCTCGCCACTCCGCGCTTCGACGTTTGTGGCTTCACTCTATCGCGGTTATTTCAAATACAATACTGTACTATCTTATATTTGCAAAAACTGCAATAGAGTGAAGCCGCAAAAGTTGAAGTGCGGAGTGGCGAGGGACGACTGTATATAAATAAAGAATCCTACTTTGTGGAAATTTATTTATCGTGGTAGAATCTGGAACTGATTAACCGCGATAAATGAGGGCCAGCTGTACATATTTTAACTTTTTGTATGTATGTGAGTCTGTACCTGTATGTATATAATAAAACCCTATGTAATATTGATGTGGGGAGGAAAGAAAGAAAATTGTATTATAGACATACTGTACTACAAATAAATGTTACAGGCAACATTTTATGAACTTTGGTATTCTATTAGAAGAATAATATAAACAAATCTCTGTTCCAGTGAAGAATTTTTATAATACAGATTATTGTATATGCATTTTTTTCATGTGTTATTTTATATGTGTGTACATATTTTTTAGAACATTAAATTATAAGATTGAAATCTGGTTTTAAAAAAATTATTATTTATCTAATAAAGTTGTAAACATTGGAACAGCATAGAATGGTTTAAAAATAAGTTTATTGTGATAGAAAATTTATCATCTTAAGCATTTTAAGTATACAGTTCAGTTAAGATGATAAATTTTCTATCACAATAAAATATTTTCAAACCATTCTGTGCTGTTCCAATGTTTACAACTTTATTAGAAATCTGTTTGAAATTTGGGTTTGGCATATTATGAGTAGTGGCTATAGCCAAGCAAGATTGAAAAAAAAAAAAAATTCTTATCCCTTTTACATAATAAACATCTAAAGTATTTTTTCATTTCATTACCTATAAAACTTAATTATCAAACTTTTTATTCTAGCAATGCCTTATTGACAGTAGAGCTTCACAATGATATCTTACTGAATGCTGGTCAACACAATGTTCAATATAAATAATAGCATGCTCTTCCCCCATTTCTCTAGGTTTCTACATAATAATGTCTTAATATTCTTTCCTACTTTTTAAAAGTTTTCCTGTTTCAGACAATGTGACCTAGTCTTATTTAGAAAAAGAAAATATTTCCTAACTGTAGATTAGTTCAATTTTCATTTTCATTTTAGATTTGTTAGAATTCATTTTTAGCATGTAAAACATGTCCCCATGTGCATTTCACTCTAGCAACAATCTTTTATACACAAGGAAGGTAATTAGCAGGTATTTTAACAACAACAACAAAAAAGAATAAAATTACATTTTTATATAAGAGAGATTTTCTTACTTAAATGTCAGCCTTTGATGTTGGCATTGTCACTTCCCATACATAGAAGTTCTGTGGGAGTAGGGAGGAAGCTGTGAACAATGCAGACCTCTCATGTGGCATTAAATAGCAAATGAAAAAAAATAATCAGAAGTAAAGGTGACATGATAGAGTAAATCTCTTTCAAGGTCCATTTCTTATTCTTATTTTCTTAAGTAATTGGTTTATAGTTTTACAGATAAGTAGTAGTTCATGGAACTCAAAATAAGTATAAGAGACTTGATTAAGAATTTATGACAAGTTCTAGAGACTGTAGCAGGACAGTTTTGCATAACTTTTATTTGACTAAAAAGTTGTTGAGATGAAATATTTCAAAAGTTTCAAAAAATAAAAATAGATTTTGAAATGTTTCAATACTTCAGTTAGCTTTTCATAAGATCACTTAACATTGAAACAAGTCCATGAACTAAATGACATAGTTAAATAGTCAGAACTCACCTTTATTTCACTTTGGTCAGAGGACCTTTGCCGGCAACTAATAGCTGTTTATTGGTGATTTCTAATTTATGAAAAGTGCCCCCTTAGATTTTTATGTGCTGTAAGATCAAGCTTGACTTGAGTAAAATGTTTTACATACTTGAGAACCAAAGCCCATGACAAACTCAAGGTTTTCTTCAGCTTTGTTCTTAGATGTAAAGGTAGGAGAGTGGGATTTAGACCTTCAGAAATTTAGAGCTTCTAGTGACAAATACGAATTTGTGATTGTGGAAATGGGCTAATACTCCACATGTTTGTTTTCCCCATAACCTAGGATGCTGAGAACCTGGTGCCCTCCAGACAGGTGTCTAGGAGAGCAACAGTGACCGAGACTTCACATTACATACATTGCTTTGAAGCTCATAGTTATGGGAACTTCAGCTTTTGGCTCTAAGTCAAGGTTGATGAGAAGATGAGAGAGGTTTTTGTCTTTTAAGACACAGATTTACATCTAGAAACAGAGAACTCCAGTTAGCTCATTATGATGGAGTTATATAGGGTTGGCTATCCTAAAAGTATCACAGTCTTAATGAATTAATGGTGTAAAGCATAACTTTTTAAATATCTGAAGGTATTTACATGTTATTTTCTTCATTTAAAAGTGGTCTTTACCTTATTCTTAAATACAGTTAGTAAATTGACAGTGATTGATATTGGTAAGCCTTTGGTATTTACAAACTGCCTTTTCCTGAAATGAATTGAAATACCTTTCCCATAAAATATTTATTTCATTTAGATATACATTATGATCTGTTTTTTAAAATAAATTACCAACATCCTTAAAACCATGAAATGCCTATTGCATCTAAGAAAATGTTCCCTCTGTAATTGAGAATTCTTGTGAATGTTCACTTCCTCACTGTCCAGTGATCACATTCATATCTTCATGATGAAGGCAATTATTATTTCCATCAGTTAAGTGCCCTTTGGTATTTCCTGATTTATTAGAAATCTCATGACCTAAAAAGATGGAGGCAGTCTGTGGTTTATGAGGTGGTGTTACACTATGAATAAATGTACACAACTATTTCTCTAAGGCAGTGATTCTCAACCTTCCTAATGCCGCGACCTTTTAATATAGTTCCTCATGTTGTGGTGACCCCCAACCATAAAATTATTTTCATGCTACTTCATAACTGTGATTTTACTTCTGTTATGTCTTAGGTGACCCCTGTGAAAGGGTTGTTTGACCCCCAAAGGGATCGCGACCCCACAGGTTGAGAACCACTGCTCTAAGGCATTGGGTAACCTACTTAAATGGAGGAGGAGTTTTTTTTCCTCTCAAATACATAGGTAACTAAGGTCTTGAGACTTAATGTGAATGTGAAGGTTTCAGGTGTTAAAGCATGATAATCTAAGCTGCATAACAATTTAGGCACTACCTAATCAGAATTATTATTATTATTATTTTGACATAGTGCTTTTTAGGGTATTCTAATTTGGTAAAAGTAAAATAGAAGTGAAATTTTAAGTTACTATAAATATTTTTTTCTCTATAAAAAAAAACTTTACAACATGGTATAGTTGACCTTTGACAAAAGTTTTTGATTTTGTAAAAGTTCAGTTTATCAATTTTTCTTCAGTGGCATATGCTTTTGGTGTCATAGCTAAAAAACAAAACAAAACAAAACAAAACCAAAAACCAAAAAAAACATTGTCTAATCCAAGGTCATGCAGATTTTTACCTTTGCTTCTCTTTGAGAATTTTATAGTTTTAGCCCCTGCGTGCAGGTCTCTGATCCATTATGAGTTAAATTTTGTATTGGTGGTTTTCTTTTTATTTACAGAGAGAGAGAGAGAGAGAGAGAGAGAGAGAGAGAGAGAGAGAAAGGGAGAGAGAAATAGAAATATCCGTTTGAGAGAGAAACATTGATCGGCTGCCTCCTGCACACCCCTCACTGGGGATCGAGCCTGCAACCTGGGCATGTGCCCTGACCAGTAATTGAACTGGGACCTCTCAGTCCATGGGACGACACTCAATCCACTGAGCTACACTGGCTGGGAGAGTTAGTTTTTATATATAGTGTGAGACAGAGCCCCATATTTAAGTCTTTGTCTGTGGAAGCATGTTTAATTTAGAATATTAAAAAAGCAACAACTGTTTCTGTACTCAATTGAACATACAAAAATTGGAACTTTAAAGCATAATTTTAGATAAAAGTAAAGCAACTACTTGGCATTATATCTAGGGACATGAAAGTAGAATTAGTCATAATAATATTCCCTTTGGACTTGCATCACTGTTTATGTAGTGTTTTAAACAGAGTGGCCAAAATGTAGAATTACCTTTGAAGACAGTTTAATAGATCACTTCAATGAACAGTCTTGACGGAAGGAAGAATAAAAGAGAATTAGCTGATAGATGAATTTGGCTTTAACTGAATATAGTATTTGATGGTAGGTGTCTAATATGTATTGTCATGATCAGAGTAGTATTTTAATATGTTACATCAGCTGCAGGTGTGTCATCTTTTTTTTTAATAACCTATGAGTACCTCTGGTCACTGAGACCTGTTCCACAAGCAGCATCTTCCCATGCTACAGGAAGTTTTAATTTTGCTTTGAGAACTGTTTCTCAGAGACTGCTTCTGAAGTCAAGGCAAGAGTGTTAGATAGGATTAATTGCGTAATCTGAAAATCTACTGGCAATCTTGAGGGTCTGTTTACATTGGAAGACTTTTTTTTAAGCCCTAAACTGAGGATATGTTTTTAAATTGATGTGAGAGAGAGGGGGAGGAAGAGGGAGAGAGAGAGAAACATCTATGTGAGAGAGAAACATTGATCAGATGCCTCACAACCCGGGATTGAACCAGCAACCTGGGTATGTGCTCTCACTGGGAATCGAACCCATGATTCTTTGGTGAATGGGACAACTGAGCCACACTGGCCCTGGTTCTATTGGAAGTCTTTTAAACCACAGTATTTTTACTGAGATGTGATCTAATCATGTCAAGAATCGGTCCTTCTCCAGAGTCATCTCTTTACTGGAGAATTTCTATAATAAGTGGTTGAGCAAATAACTTGGGGCTCCATCTTATAACCCCTTGTGAGTACTAGTTTTGTCACTAATC